ATGTTACATTAGCAGAGCTGGAAGATTTACTTTGGCTATTTACAGTGGGTTACTTGGCTTTTACTTTTTATAAATAAATATCTATTGCTTGTGGTGAGAATTGCTACACTCTCAGGCTATGGAAAGAATTTTTGAGAAATAGCATGCCTTTATGGCTGTGTTTATATGCTCACATGTAAACTGAGCTTGAAGTTCAGCTTGACATTTTGTATGTTTTTACACTGAGTACACCGGCAGGAAACACTTTCTAGCCAAGATCCATTCCTGAAAGCCGGCAAAGCTTGAGGAAGACAAGAGGAATATACTCCTGGAACTGCAGCAAGATTGGGAGATAAATAGTTATAGCTATAGCAGCAGCTCACTGGTAAGGGCTGGATTCTAGTGATTGCAAATTAAATCTTTTTTTCTTCCTGCCTTCTCCCCGAAGGAAGCTGATTGCACACCTTTAACTCTTCACACTTACCTACAGTCATTCACCCTCAAGCGAGTGGCCTATCCCCAAGCAGTGGTTTGTTTTATTATCAGAATTTGTGCCTGACCCTGGATCAACTCTGCTGGTGTTAAACTGGAGAAAGAGCTATAAAGCAGTTCTGGCTTTTGATGCTTTTCCAAGTTGCTTCTGTGTCACCTTTTTAGGGTTATGTTTGTGTAAACAAAGAATTAAAGGAACTTCATGTGGTACTGCATGGCCCTGCATCACTGCTGGTAACCTCTGAGGGTGGTGGTGGAAGTAATCACATCAAAGCTGGTTTTGTTCTGAATTTGTGACGGAACTTCTATTGTGCTGCGACTACAATGCTGATACAATCACTGTGAATGGTAAATGTATCGTCAGTGATTGTTAATCTCTGATAGGAATCAGCAAAAAGAGACAAGGTTTATTTCAATAGCTTGAAATTAGTTAGCGGGATAAGGGAAAGAATGAGCAATTTTGTACTTGGTGGAGGGAACTTGCTTACCAAGTACATACCTAAAAGAATTAATTCTTAATTCTTTTAAGGGGATGTGTTAAGGCCTATCAAACCCTGGCAAACCCTCAAATTAAAACATTCAGGTTGCCAGAGAACTCCCCAAGTCAGGGAAGATCTTCATGGGGCTCAGCTCGCTGCTCATAGTGACTCTTTTTGTACACAGCTTCTACTTTCTGCTTTGAAGGACAGCAGCTATTTTGACAGTGCTCATCATCACCAGCACAATACTGTAAAAAATCAGTTTCAACAGCATTGTTGCAGTTCCAGGTTGATAAGTTTTCATTCCTGCTGTGTGAGTTTCAAGAGATCACTAGACTACTGGCATGACATCTATAGGAAGATAAGTTTGTGTGGGGAAATGAGGAACTGCATTGATTGGATTTCACATTATATCTTGAAGCATTCAGTCTGTTTTGAGTGTGGTGAAAAGTCCAGTGTTTTCTTTGGCAGTGCCTTCTGGTAGTTAATTCTTATTGACAAGGCATTTCTTTAAAAAATGAAAAAAAAAAAATCAAAGTTGCCACGTGTTGTTTCAGCAGTCAGAAACGTGGCCACATCTCCTATGTATGCTATCTGAAGAATTTTAACTTAACTGAGGATTTTCAGGATTTTTTGTACAGTTACTTTCCCTCTTGGCCTTAAAAAGATGTAAATACCTTCTGTAACATGTATCACTGTCTACCAAATTATGCTGCCTTTTAAATTCTGCTCTGTTTTACAGTTAAAGACTAATTTCTTTGAGGCTTGCAGATAACTATCTTGAATCTCTGTATATTTAAAATTGTTACATAAGCAAAGATTAAGTGGTCATAATTTTCAAAGACACAAAGTGATGGCTGAAGATAGCTGCTGCCAGACAGACTAAATGACTGCAAGTAGACAGTCTCAAAAAATTTTATGGTGTTGGACAGCAGCTGGAGATGGCTTCTTCCAAAATAGGGTTAATAGGACTGGACTTAACATGAAAGCCCATATTCTGTGGTGGTGGGGGATGACTATAGTTAAACTTTTTAATTTGGTTCATCCACCTTATGTTTCCAGGAGTGTGCTCTCCAAGAACAGGAGGTTCATATTGGTATTTACTGTAGTGATATTTCTTTAGTGCGATTGGCTTTGAGTTGATATGATTGTCAGGCAGGAAATTGAGCTATTGCCAGTTATGAAGTTCTAATCAGAAGGCCAGAACTAGATGTGGTTTATTTACTTAAAACAACTTGCTCCTCTGCTGTCAAACATACTTTCCCTTAGAAAGTGGTCTAGAAATAGTATCACAAGATTACTTTTTTCTTACATTATCATCAAAGAAAGTCAGTGTGATTCCATAATTAGTATTTTTTTCACAGCCTACAGACATTCCTTCTGTAAGGCTTCTTTGCATCTAGGTTTTCTTGGACACTGAAAAAAATGTTAATCTTCTCAAATGTTGCTAAATATGTATGTGTTGTGTTTTTTTTTAATGCCCTGCCTTCCACAAGGAAAATTTTCTTGAAGCAGTCAACCTTCACTATTGGTAGCTTAATAATCACACTTAACTGAAGAGCCAGTACTGCCCAGCTGGTAGATCCATATTTGCTGTATTTAAACAGCAAATTGAAATGTAATGTGCATTTAACTCTAAATTCACTTTCTTTTATTTTCCAAAGCTTGTTTTTATTTTATGTGAATGTAGGAGTCAAAGTTAAGAGCCAGTTCTCATTGTGTCTCTGTGCTACTAAAGAGAAGTATTCCTTTAGAAGTCTTGAACACTGTGTGTGGTTATGTTTAGGGCTATGTATCTCAGAGTAACCCACAAAACTAATAGAACGGCTATAAACCAACCTGTCCTACAGTCCCTGCTACTGATTTCCTTATATTCTTTTACAGGCAAGTCTAAACTATAGTGTCCTTATATCTGTAATTAAAACAATCTTATTATTTCTTTCCTTTTGTAAACTACTAGAAGAAAACCTCACTTACTATCCAGAGCTTCTCTACTAATACCTTGTCATAGCAAGAAATCATTGGTTTAAAAATACTTGGATGGTATTCTAGATTACTAGGTTTGTAGTGGCAGTGGTAAACCTTCAGTGGTTTGGATCTTTAAATACCTCCTGTGCTTAGGCGGTTTTTGGCTGCTTGATGTATCTGGCTGGTTTGTAGCTCTCTCTTATTGGAATATGAATTGCAAAGATAGCAGAAAGTAGGTGAAGTCTGAGATTATACAGCTCTAGAAAATTCCTGGGGGTGAAGACAAGACTCTGGGATTCTGTGGGTGAGTTGTGAAAGAAGATAGATTTGGGAGTGAGGAAGGCTGTGTTCCTCTTCCCTGTGAGTCTGATAGTGCAGATTTTCCACTTGGCATACAGATGCTCTTGCATGTTGTATGGTCTGTAACTCTTGAGCTCAGGCTGTCCTAGAACTTGTTCTGTGTGAGCACAAGTCTTTGGCATATAGATACAGGATGAGTTTAGGCACTTCAGGAAGGTTAGAGAATAAATCAAACTTCATACTGTCACAGCCACTGTCACCCGTTTCCTAGTGCTCACCTTTCTATATTAGTCTCCTTAAGAACTTCATGATTCATACTAAGTTCTGTACAGACCGAGTGACTGTGTGTAGCACTCCTGCAGTGAAACGGGAAGCACCAGGAGTTGCTCTGCAGATAGTCTATTAAATGGTACAGCCATTGGTTACACACATTAATTATAGCTCTGTGCTGCCTCCTGCAAAGATAGCTTTAAATTCTGCTGCTATATTGTCATGGTGCAGGTTGGGCTGGACACTAAAACTCTTAGTTCTTTCTTGTCTGTGTAAAAGCTCATGTGATATATTCCATTTAGAAGAGTTCAACTTGGATCTATCCTGACTTAAACAATTTTTATTGTATTTCATGTAAACGCTTGTATTTAATAATGAAATTAGCGGAGCCCATTTTCTATTAAACATTATGCTGAAAGCTAAGAATAAATATGCATTCTTAGAATAGTAAAGTTTGAATTGCAAGTGTTCCAAGGAGGGCACAGTGTTTAAAAATAAGTACATAAAAAAAAATACCAGACTGCCAGTTGTCACCTGCAGATCTTATATTTCCAAGAAGAAACCAAGGTCTTGTAAATAAAGTGTGTGTAGGTGGATGATTGTACTCTTCTGTATCTTAACCACTGTTAGAAACCCTTACGGAATAGCAGCAGTGGAGGGGTGTGTGACCATAGGCTACTTCTCATGTTTATGTTATAATATTAACTTGCATCAAGTGGTGGCTTGAAATCCTGTTGAGAGGGGTACCCTTCACAGATTACAGAGTCGATAGCAGTACCTTCCTGCTTTCTCTTCTACTTCCTATGTGGTTCACTGGAATTTCTTACCAGTAGGAGAACTAGAAACCTGAAACTTAATTTTGTGTACTTCGGTATTCCATGTAGTTGTGGGGGTGTTTTAACTAAAGAGGAAGTGTGTGTGCTTGTATGTGGAAAGAGAATGTGAAACTATTAGTAACTGGATAGGTTTGGGAGAAAGCTGGGGCTGAAAGTTAACATCTGCTAGGTTTTTGAAGCTTCATTATTAACTTAATGACCTGTATTCAATTTCACTAGAGCCATGTAAAATTTCAGTTAAGTGACAAATTCTAATGGACATTAGAAGAATTAAGCCTCCATTAAACTGAATTACCATAGCCTAAAACAATTATGTATCTTTTTCTGAAATATCCGTGAAAGATCTGGGGTAGGGCTTTAAATTGGAAACTTTAGTAATTTGGTCATAGCTACTTGGTAACAAGCAAAAACTGAATGGCATATTTATCTTACTGCAGCAATTGTGGTTTATTTTTGACCCTCTCAGGTGGGGAAGGTGGGGAGAAAAACCATCACTGGATTAATTGTTCTGATGTGTTTACTTAAAAAAAAAAAGGAAGGTGGGGAAGGTGGAGAGAAAGACCATCACTGGATTAATTGTTCTGATGAGTTTACTTAAAAAAAAAAAAGTCAAAAAAAAATTATCTTTATTCTTTTTTGCAGCCACTGATCTTATGATCTTTATTCTTTTTTGCAGCCACTGATCTTCTTTTGGCTTGGAATCCCATTTGTCTGGGCCTGGTTGAGGGAGTCATTGGTAAAGTTCAGCTTCATACAGGTATGTAGTATTTTTTTTTTTCTATGCACTATAAAACGTTTAAAGTCAGTGATACTACGAAAACTACTCTGTAGTGCTCTTTGCAACAGAGTACTCCCCAAATATGTGAACTTGTCAAAGTGATTACTTTATAGTTGTAGATGCAAATTCCCTATGCTTTCCAGTGTATATATTTTGGTTTGTCACTCTCTTGTAAAAATAGAGAACTGCATTCACAAAGAGTAAAAATTTGTTTGAAGTTCTGTCTGAGGCTCTGTGTGAGATGCATAAAGTTCTTGCACCTTTTTGAATAATCCTTTCAAGTAGTTTTTTGTTGTTCTCCTATGGTACAGTGCAAAAACTAATGATGGAAGCTCTCATGAAATTAAAAGGCTCGAATTCTCAATGCTATAGAATAATTGCTGCCTTGGTAGGTGACTATTTGAAAGGAAAAGCAACACTTAAATTCATTAAATGTAAGACATAGCTGTATGGTGGAAACAGGTATAGGATGCATTGTGATTTAATGTTAAGCCTGTCTAACTGATTCTAGTAACTTTCTCCTGTAAAACAAGGCCAATGTTTTAGCTGTAATCAGCTGCAAATTCCTGTAGCCGTGATAAAGATTTCTTTTGATATGTACCAGCTTTGTATAGGAGCCCTTCTGCCAGTAGGGCTCTGGGTATCTGTTTACTGACAGGCAGGAAAACTAGCTGTAAACTGCTTCGCTTACTGTTCTTTTTGTGAATTCTTAGACCCTGCATTTAAAGTAGCGCCTGGCAATATGATCAATACAGGTAAAGTTTCAAGTGTGTTCCCGGACAGTGGGATGGATTAAGTGGTGAAAGGGATCAGATGTTTGTGGTCTGTTGAATAGAAATGGATTAGTCAAGGTGGCAGTGGCTACTAGCAACGGGGGAGGAGGGGACCAGGGACTGGCACACCACTGCGTGGGTGTTTGATGGTCTAGTCCTAGGGAATGCTTTGGCTCCATAATTACTGTAACCCCTGGGTCTTGTTTCTAAGAGTAATAGTACAGAGCTCATCTCTTCATGAAGTTTGTGATCACATCCTCTTTCCAAGTGTATCGCTTCATCTTCTCTGAATTTCACCTGGTATTTTTGTCTGTGCTCATTCTGCAGATCTGTTCAGCCATCCTTTTTCAGATCTGATGATGTGAAGTGGTTCAGACTCTTACCTCGCTTTCTCTTCCCCTCGTCCAGGTTGTCTGTGCTGTGCATCATGTGCTGTTCATGATGAATGATGGCTGAACTCCAGTAATGGCCTCTTTATGCTCTGGGAAAATGCCCAATTGTTTTCTAACACGTTTTTTTGCTGTGGTGGTGTTTGGTTGTGTGCTGTTTTGGTTTTGTTTGTTTTTTTTTTTAAACCAAGCACTTAGATACACAAAGGCCTTCCTCCCTCTCTAGGGAGTCTAGTATAAAAGCCTTTGAAGGGGGAGACCTTGTCAAATCCTTTCTGGAAGGTCCAGTGTGTTATGGCAACCGAATATCTTTGCATGTGGGCTTATTGTGAGGCACTTCCTCTGCTTATGAAAGCTGAGTTGAAACTTTCCCCAGCATGTGACACTGCAACAGGTGCCAGCTTGCTGTTATCAAGTAAATTAAGATTATCAGGTAATAAATCTGATATGTGGTCTTCTTCCCATGTGTCCTGTAGAGCTACTGAATCAGTTATGCTCATCCAGGCACTCCATTCAGTTACAGCTTAGGCCAGTTGGAAGATTTTTGGTTCCTCTCTGCCTTCTTCAGATGACACCATCACAGACTGTTCATAGACTATCCTTCTTGTCTGTATTCTGGTGCTTGGTGATGCAACTATCCTGTAAAAGGACATTGATTTTCTACCTTTAAATGTCTGAAGAAACATAAAATCTCCAGCTATTTGTCCTTACTCTTCTGCTGAGGACTACTGCTCCCTTGAATCTGTTGACAGTTGCTGCTCCATCAGGCTGCAGTCAAAATGAGAGGGCTGATGGAGATGTCTTACGTAGGTCTCTTGAAACCTATTCTTGTTAATGAACTCTCACTTGATCATATTCAAGTGTAGTTTTTTTGATAATCCTCTAGGCTGAATCCTCTAGCACTCTGTAACAGTAACCTGTCTTCATTACTTATTCTTGTATCAATCTTTGTCACTGGGAAACTTTATCAGCAGAAGTTGTATAAATATTTAATATGGGTGGACCATTATCCCCAGATATAGTGAGAGTACTATGCTGCAGAAGCTGGGCAAAATGCTTTTCTCCCAGAGCTGATCTAGAACAGGAGGACTTGTTGCTCTAATTTCTACCGCCTGCCCCTAGACTCTAAGGATCAGAAAACTTAATTTGGAGCTCTTTTGGTTAACTAGAGTCCTGTATGGGCTTGTTCTGCTCTGAACCTTGTTATTAGTTATTTTGGAAAGAAGTACTGGCATGTTTTAAAAATGCTTAGCAAATACTGACTAATACTGGAAGCCTTAAATACCTTTTAAAGTATTGAAGTTGCTAGTAGTGCACTCTAGATCTGTCACTAAGCCTTTATGCACTTTAATGTCTTGGGCATAGGTCCTTATATGTTCTTGAAAGATTGGTTTAATGCAAGAATGCTGGAGTAGTCCTAAGATGACTTTGAAGTGTCCCTAAAGTCAGTCTTGGACCATCCTTAATTTCACATTGAAATACCCGTGCCAATTTGCTGTAACTAGGAATGGGATTTAATTTACTCGTAATCTTGCTGGTTTTATAGCAGACCTAGTACAGGAGAATTTGTAGGAAAGCTGCTGTGGCAATATTACATGGTTTATTTTTTAATACTCTAAAGAATTTTTGCCATGAGGGGCATCACTTTTACCTTTGGACATAACTGTACACTTATATTGGAGATGAAACTCTGCTTAAAGCATCATTTGGTTCTTTGCTAATACTGAATTTTCTTAAACATTAAGATGCTTTTTTTGGGGGGAGATAGAAGAGGGGGAAACTCCAAATGACAAAACCTTCATTGAATATCAGAATGCAAGGATATGGTATCTTACCTTTTTCTGGTCTATCCCAAGATGACTTGTAGGAAAATGTGTAGTAAAAATAGGAATAGAAGGAAACGGATTTTAGAATGTGTTGTGGAGAGAAGTTACTAAAACAGAACACTGTGTATTTTCTTGGTACAGATGCACAATTAAAATTGTCTCTGCATGACCTTCCTGTATAGAGACAAGCACATCTCTTGCATAAGCAGTGTCCTCTAGAGAATATTAAATTTGTTTTGTGGTCCACTTGGCGTGCATGCATACAAAATGCAAGTGTAGCCACTCAATTTCCTTTTGTCAAAACTGAATCACTTGCAGTCAGTGACTGCTTAGCAAGCTGTTCAAACATTGTAGTGCTAGAATATGCTTACAATCAATATTGTATATCTAACTATAACTAAAGCAGGATTCCTTAACCAGCTCCAGCAACTTCCGCTTAGCTCATTCAATGCCACCACACATTTCTCAGTTTCTTGGTCAAAGCACACTCCTGTGCAGTTTAAGGTCTATACTTGTATCAATTTGGTGTGCTCTTCCATTGCTGGTTGATTACAATCCAAATTAAATGGTGCTGGCAGGGTTGTGTAGACTCCGTAAACGGAAGGGAAGTGGAGTTCCTCCTTTCCTATCCCCAGGAAAGCAAAGCTTTTTTTTTTTAATGTGCATCTGAATCTTGATAGAAACAATGAGTGGTTCAGTGTCTGAAATAGCTCCAGTGAGATGTAACTGCAGCAATTTCTAACTTCATCCCATCAACAACTTAAAAATTATTGCATGAAAAAATAAGTTATTCAGGTAACAAAAAAAAATATGCCAGCATGGAATTTCTTGGCTGAAATCAAAATACTTGCAAAAAGCAGTGTTTATAGTAGATTTATGCAGAGTTTAAGAAAGTTTCCCCAAATGCTTTTGCAGTAACCTGTATGCTATATTGTTTAGGAAATGTTGGAGCAAAGCAGCAGTGGTGTGCTGACAGTGTTCAAGCAAAAGAGGAGCTAAATTCCTGTTTTAGTGAGCAATGGGAGGTAATAGCTTACTTTATAGTATTTTAAGTTAGTTGCTGACATCCACTCTTCATAAAAATGAACAATAGATCTTAAGAGATGATTTGAAACATCCACTCTTCTGGAATGATACATAGCCATAGTGTTCTGTACACACTGTACCTCCCACATTGAGTAGACAATAACTGTAATTTCTTTTATAGCTGTTCTGTGGAACGACTTAAACTGCAGAAGCACATACTCTACTCAGGGATTCAGTTATTTAGCTATTGCTGGCAACTGTAATATTCTGCTTCTGTGGCCGTTGTTGCTTTTACTTCAGGGCGTACTTATCTGCATAATTACTTCCTGACTGTTTTCTTTTGATCTGCTGGGGAATTCCTGTTTTCCTTCAATGTTCTGTGGCTCTGGCTGTAATACAAAGAGTTTTGAAATGTACACCAAGATGACTTTGAGTGCACTTTTTAAAAAATGATAAAAGGAACAGAACTCACTTGCCTGTATTAAGCTCTTAAGTTCTCATTTACTGCTACTAGGGTTTGTTAATACAAGGTAAACTGAAGAGGAGCTTGAGATTTTTTTTCTTTCTTTTCCATTTTTCACTAAGGTCTATCTGGTAAGAAATGCTTTTACATAATACTGTTTTCCAATGGAATCTATTATTTCACTACAAAACTCACTTGCCTGTATTAAGCTCGTAAGTTCTCATTTACTGCTACTGGGGTTTGTTAATACAAGCTAAACTGAAGAGGAGCTTGAGATTTTTTTTTCTTTCTTTTCCATTTTTCACTAAGGTCTATCTGGTAAGAAATGCTTTTACATAATACTGTTTTCCAATGGAATCTATTATTTCACTGGAGCTTTAGAAGGTCTTCTTGTAGAAGTAAGTTGTGTGGGCCTCCTTCTGCAGGTGGGAATAGATGGGATTATAGGACTGCCCAGCAGAAATGTGTGTCTGTCTGGATGCCCTATTGTACTGCCCTTCCTGTTATGCTTAAATTGCCCTGGGTTTCCAGAGACTGTATTGCTTTTGCCTGCAGGAAAGCAATATAGAAAATGGTAGAGTTTCTTTTTAGATGAAGCGGTAGACATCTTCATCTGTTGCTGGTGGTTTTGGCAGCACTTCAGTTTCCCCATTTTAAAAGGATTTTCTTACCTATTTGTTGGTCTGCTCACTGTTGCATAGAATCTGTCCTGTTTTCCTCAGCTTCCCTTTTTTTTTATTTCCACCTTATCCCCATGGCTGGGGGGATGCTGGAGGCAAAGGTAGGTGTTCACCAAGTGGTGTTGCTGTACTTGCACAGAAAAGCTGTTCCAGCGCCTGCTCTCACTAAGGGATAACTTGGGATAACTGTCTTGCTGGTGTTTGCTGTTACTCTTGTCTGTTATCCTTTGACCAACAAGAATAGAACAGTTCACCTAGTTTTTAGGAGACTATGCTTACATCATGGCTTTGAGTAACCTGGTCCAACCTCAGAGCTGACCCCGCTTGAGCAAGGTGACATCCTGAGCTCTCACCTGACTTGTCTCTGATCCTGTAGAGATTATGATTCTGGTGCTGTGTTCAGGAAACAGTACAGGACTGCTTTTAGAAGATCACATACACTAACAAAGTGGTGCCTGAATTCATTCCCTTTCCTCTCCTCCCTATTTTGGGAGGCAGCCTTTGCTTCTCACAGTGCATTTGTAATTGAAGGCCTGTAATTGTTAAAGGTTTGTTAGTACCTAACATCAGCACATCTCTCTCCTAAACACAGTGATAAAGAATCAAAATAAGGAGGGGATTGTCATAATGCACAGCAGTCTATTTACAGTGTTTGTTCCTTTTCTTTAGAAGAAACTGCTACTTAAACATACCTGGTCAGATTTGGGCAGAAATGTTCAAGGCTTTTTAACTGCAATTATTGGAAAGATGCTTACAGTTTGGATAGACCTTTAATTCTATGCTAAAAGTATATTGGAAAATGTGGGAAACAACAATTTTGAGTGTCCTGTGAGTTGAAACACATTCTACTAGGTTTTTCGTAAGCATTCAGGGGATAACACAATACCTAGAAATTACTGAGCAAGGAAAGTGGACTTTGCATTAGCTACAAAGCCTCTAAATAGACTTTTTTTTTTCACCAAAGGTTGTGTATTGTATTTTAAGGCATAATACATGACACAGTCTACTGTCATAAGCATGGAAGCATATCTAACTCTAACATAGCAGGTTTTTAAAGTCTGTGTATGACCTCTTCAGTTAAACTCAGTTGCTTCTCAGTTGGGAGAAATGGTGTAAAAGTGTGTCTAAGACTTTGTGTACTTTTTCCATCTGCCTTGACAGAACTTTCACTTTTAGCTCAGTAGGATGCTGAGTCAACCAAGGGATTGAGATGTAGGAAGATAATGACCAGGCACTATTCAGCAGCCAGTGGGAATGTTTGTTCAGTTTCAGTCTTTGTAGTCTTGAAGCCATAATTGTGAATGCTGTAGATTGAATGTGGGTATGGAATGCACCTGTTGTTATTATTCTTGTTAACCTTTGGCTCATTTATTCTACACCACTTAGATGCATATATTTCAGGAATGATGTTGTGAACCTTTGCCTCATAAAGCAACTCATGTACATTTAATGTTTGCTCACCACATTTCTTAACTCGGGAATCTTGTAGCTGGTACCCATGTCTGTCTCATTTGCTGTTTTATACATGATAGGTGTGAAGAGAAAATCTTAGCTTGCTGTCTCTTGAGCTCAAACTATTTTTTTTTTTAAATTGTACTGCTATCAGTGACATTGGGTATGTGCATCATCCTAGAGATTGCCTAATTAGTATAGATGAAGCAGTGGTAACTTTAACTTTAATGGGTACGTCTATGAAGTTAATCACCTTATGATATTAGAGATGGAGTAAGTATTGTTTTTCAGTGGTTTTTTTTTTTATTGCTGTGCATAATAACAAAACATAGCAATAATGAATCAGTGTTCACTGGAGTCTTCTAGTCATACAGTTCCTGGCAGGGGTTTTACACTGGGGAGAAGCTTCTGGCAGACTAATCAAAGTAAATGCCTGACAGACAAATCAAAACATCTACTAATCTTTTTCCAGATTTACCGTGGTGGCTACTTCTAATTCGTCAGAAAGCATTGATTGGCAAACTTCCAGGAGACCATGAGGTTTGCAAAATAACAAAGATTGCAGTGATTCCACTTTCTGAAACAGAACCTCAGGATCTGGAATTAGAGGTATGACTATCTGTAATGAATTCTGACTTACTCCCTTCTGCTTCAATGAAATTTAAATGTGAAATATAATAGTTAAGCATATGCCTCTTATCTCCTTTTCCTGGGGTATGCAGACATTGAACATCTCGTATTTTTAAATACCTTTTTTGGTTAAGAGGTTTTTTTAAAAAAATCACAAGTTCTGGTAGGGAGGGAAATTACAATAAAATTATACCCGAATTTCATAAAGATCCTTGAAGATATCACACAAGAACAAGATTTTATTAGTGTAATTAAGCAACAGATTATTTGAGAACAGAAATGAATCTACTGGAAACATCTGAAGGGACAAAGCTGTAGACTTAAGACAGGAATCTTGTGTTTTGCTTTTAAGAAAAATAAACCTCTCCTGATTACCTCTTAATGACTAGGATGGTAAGACTTTCAGTAAGTCCTCGTAATCTAAGATGATGTGCACTGTGGTTAGACCACTGTGGGAGACCAGTTCTGGCTTTGGGTTTCTTTTTTCAGTGTATGTGTTGGGGGAATGCTGATGGGGACACAGGATGACTTGTGATAGTCTCTGTGGTGCCTGCAAACAGCATGAGAATCCTTCCCTAAAGAGTGAGAATGACATGGAAGCTCCAAAGCTTTGGTAGAACTCTAGGAGCATGAAGAGCTGCTTCAAAGTCTGGGCATTAGAACCTCACAGGATCTAATCCAGGATCTATCCCCTCACCTGGGATACAAGAATATGACTTGAAATCTAGATGTAAAACCTTCTTGCTCTTAGTTGTGTAGGCAGGAACATACCACACCCACTAGGTCCTTCTGTGCCTAGAAACCTGTACAAGAACTCTCCCACTTCAACTCGCTTCATCATGAGGTTATCCCCAAATATCTCTTAGAGCTTTCACGTGTGTGTACTTTGGGGGAAGAAGCTGTCATATCTCTGCCCTCTGAATCACGAGAGAGTAGATTTGTTTTTAATGGATGCTTCTGCTTCTGTCCTGCTTTGGGATCTTAATTCTGTAACTTGGCTTCAAGGAAAAGCCTTGCTTTAAATTTTGCAGAATTTTTTTCAAAAGAGAAAGGGAAAACAATACAAGTGAGTAATACTGATTTACACTGTATTTTGGGTGGGAAGTTGAGGTAGGTCTGGATACTCAAGTCATATCAAATTGAGGCAGATGTTCTCACAGTCCCAGGAGAAAATGACTTTTATAAAAAAGAGGGAGAGCAATGCTATAAATTGAAATACAGGGGGAACATACAGGTTTCGAAGTGTCTCCCCAAGGTTTATGGGCACTGCAGGCTTGCTTTTGTAGACTTAAATTAAAATTGTCTTGAACTTGTTAAAAAGTATTTAAGTATTTGCTTTAATTTGATATCATTATTTAGCTTTGTAAAAAGCACCATTTTGGGATAAACAAGCCAGAGAAGATTACGCAGTCCCCAGATGACACAAAATTTCTGCTGAAGACTCTTACTCAAATTAAATCAAATGTGTCTGCTCCAAATAAAAAGAAGGTAAAGTTTCCTACTGCTTTCTTGCTTTGTTTAAAAAAAATTACTTGATAATTCAAAGGTTGTGGTGGATGATCAAATGGAGTACTAAGACCTTAAAAGAGAACTGGTGAAAAACTGCACAATGTACAACTACTGTCTTGAAGTTTGATTTAATTTTTGATTATTTAACTGTTGCTCTTTTATGATTTTTAATTTTTTTATAGTATATAACTTTGGCAAAATTAAGAGTGCCGCCTTAGCAGGATTAACTTGTAGTGGGACTCTGAACTTAAAAAATTGCTCTACATAAGTATGTCTTACCGGGTAGAATTGGAGAAAAACTTTGATGCAGCATGATGCCTCTGAAGATGCTGGTCTTTGTGTTTACCTGTGATAGGAATTTTAAGATCCTGCTCTTCAATGAGAAAGTGTCTGTCCTACAAGGTTAGAAATGGCAAGTAGCAAATATGGCTGGAGTCTTTTCAATCAAAGGGGGAAAACATAAGAAAAAAATTACTTTTCTTTCAGATTAAAGAAAGCAAAGAAAAAGAGAAGCTGGAGAAAAGATTATTGGAGGAGTTATTCAAAATGTTCATGGATTCAGACTCCTTTTACTACAGCCTGACCTATGACCTAACAAATTCTGTGCAGAGGCAGAGTGCGTGTGAGAAAACTAACTTACCACTGTGGAGAAGAGTAAGTCTGTGTAGTTTGCTGCTTTTTGGTTTTTTTTTCTCCCTTTTGGGAGATGAGCTTTCCAATACTGTATGTGGTCAGCACTTGGCTGGTCATGTTTTGTGCTGGTACAATGTACAGCAACTGAAGATCGTGCCCTATAACCAGCTTCATTGCAAGGAAATGAAACAAATCTCCAGCTGCATGTCCTGAACTGAGCTGTTATATTCAAAAATAGGGAACACTAGACTTGTGTGTACAGGTGTAGTGAATAACACTGGTGTCTTTACCAAAGATATTGCCAAACCTTACTTAAAAAAAATTGCAAAAACTGCCCTTTTTGTTTTAAACAGGTTGATGATAGATTCTTTTGGAACAAGCACATGATTGAAGATCTCATCACCATTGATGTGAGTCTTGTTTCTAACAATGTATATTATGAGAACCATTCTGTAGTTTTAGTTGAAATGTTGACTTAAGGCTGCATAGAAGTTTACTTAAAAACCTGCTTGGCAGACAGCTCAGGGTTGGGGCTGTGCCTTCTGGAGCTGAGCAATTAGCATTACCTTTTTCCCCCAGCTGGCCTTTCAGCAGCCTTCTTGTTAGCCTCTTGCTAATTAATGCACATCAACTGAATTAAAATAATTACAGTAAAGCAATGCAGGATAACTTAATGTGTGATATGTTTGTGCTAATTTCTGAAGGTATAAAGCTTATGCTAGTATAGTTCGCTGAAAATAGGCTAACAACGTTGCACTTTAAAATGTTAAATTTGCCTACCTATACACTGTAATATGCTGTATGTCTATGTAGAGGAGGTAAAACTGCCTTAAAGCAGAAGCTAAATAATAAATTATCAATATTTGCTGCTCTATCTGAACTGACTATCTTTGTTTTTGACATGAGAAGTTTTTATTATGTTTACCTTAAGCTTTTGTTATGTTTAAACATAAGATACAACCTTGTAGGAAACTCCCTAAGGGTAAAAGATGCTTTTAAATATTGAAGGGTTCTCTTCTATCCCTAGATAGCTGGGAGTAGAGGAGGGTTTTTTGCCTTAATTCAGCTTGCTTCATCTCTACAGAAAAATGTTGTTGCTTTCTCTTTCTTCCTCCTGATTTAAAAGCCCAAGGACTAATGGAGGATAAATGCTGGTATCTCTTACAGAAATAAGACAGAGTTATGGGAAAAATTTCTTAAAACATGAAAAGCAACTGTTTATAAGCATGAGAAATGGCAGAAATAATTGTAGGTAATATAGAACCAGCAAGAAGTTACATGTGTTTTGTAACCTTTAGAATGCTGAAGTGGACTTCTGGATTATACCCATCATACAAGGATTTGTGCAAATTGAAGAGCTTGTCGTGAACTATAACGAATCTTCTGATGATGATAAGAGCAGTCCTGAAACTCCTCCTCAGGAATCAACTTGTGTAGATGATGTTCATCCAACGTTTCTGGTGGCACTTATTTCACGCCGGAGTCGGCACAGAGCTGGTAGGCAAATGTAGTTCAAGGCATCGGGGTTGTTCCTGAGTACTGATATGGGACATAAAACTTGGAAGAGGACTGTGTTGTCCAGCAGGTGGTCAGCTCTTGTCAAAGTACGTGCCACAGCCATTCCTGCTTACAGGAGAAAAGGGAAGGCTGTAGGGCATGCAGCACTGCAGAGCAGTTACTAAGTGAACTTCACTAATCTCCTTTTGGGCACTGAATGTCTCCTTGGAGGTCACAGTCCTGGAATAAAGTTACATCTTTGCAAAGAACACCTTGATTAGGACCTTGTGGACAGCTCTGTCCTAACACAATGTTCTCATTGTGGGTGGGAGTTAAAAGTATATTGGAAAATGTGGGAAACAACAATTTTGAGTGTCCTGTGAGTTGAAACACATTCTACTAGGTTTTTCGTAAGCATTCAGGGGATAACACAATACCTAGAAATTACTGAGCAAGGAAAGTGGACTTTGCATTAGCTACAAAGCCTCTAAATAGACTTTTTTTTTTCACCAAAGGTTGTGTATTGTATTTTAAGGCATAATACATGACACAGTCTACTGTCATAAGCATGGAAGCATATCTAACTCTAACATAGCAGGTTTTTAAAGTCTGTGTATGACCTCTTCAGTTAAACTCAGTTGCTTCTCAGTTGGGAGAAATGGTGTAAAAGTGTGTCTAAGACTTTGTGTACTTTTTCCATCTGCCTTGACAGAACTTTCACTTTTAGCTCAGTAGGATGCTGAGTCAACCAAGGGATTGAGATGTAGGAAGATAATGACCAGGCACTATTCAGCAGCCAGTGGGAATGTTTGTTCTGTTTCAGTCTCTTTGTAGTCTTGAAGCCATAATTGTGAATGCTGTAGATTAATGTGGGTATGGAATGCACCTGTTGTTATTATTCTTGTTAACCTTTGGCTCATTTATTCTACACCACTTAGATGCATATATTTCAGGAATCTTTCTTGCTTTGTTTAAAAAAAATTACTTGATAATTCAAAGGTTGTGGTGGATGATCATTTTCTTGCTTTGTTTAAAAAAAATTGATAATTCAAAGGTTGTGGTGGATGATCAAATGGAGTACTAAGACCTTAAAAGAGAACTGGTGAAAAACTGCACAATGTACAACTACTGTCTTGAAGTTTGATTTAATTTTTGATTATTTAACTGTTGCTCTTTTATGATTTTTAATTTTTTTATAGTATATAACTTTGGCAAAATTAAGAGTGCCGCCTTAGCAGGATTAACTTGTAGTGGGACTCTGAACTTAAAAAATTGCTCTACATAAGTATGTCTTACCGGGTAGAATTGGAGAAAAACTTTGATGCAGCATGATGCCTCTGAAGATGCTGGTCTTTGTGTTTACCTGTGATAGGAATTTTAAGATCCTGCTCTTCAATGAGAAAGTGTCTGTCCTACAAGGTTAGAAATGGCAAGTAGCAAATATGGCTGGAGTCTTTTCAATCAAAGGGGGAAAACATAAGAAAAAAATTACTTTTCTTTCAGATTAAAGAAAGCAAAGAAAAAGAGAAGCTGGAGAAAAGATTATTGGAGGAGTTATTCAAAATGTTCATGGATTCAGACTCCTTTTACTACAGCCTGACCTATGACCTAACAAATTCTGTGCAGAGGCAGAGTGCGTGTGAGAAAACTAACTTACCACTGTGGAGAAGAGTAAGTCTGTGTAGTTTGCTGCTTTTTGGTTTTTTTTTCTCCCTTTTGGGAGATGAGCTTTCCAATACTGTATGTGGTCAGCACTTGGCTGGTCATGTTTTGTGCTGGTACAATGTACAGCAACTGAAGATCGTGCCCTATAACCAGCTTCATTGCAAGGAAATGAAACAAATCTCCAGCTGCATGTCCTGAACTGAGCTGTTATATTCAAAAATAGGGAACACTAGACTTGTGTGTACAGGTGTAGTGAATAACACTGGTGTCTTTACCAAAGATATTGCCAAACCTTACTTAAAAAAAATTGCAAAAACTGCCCTTTTTGTTTTAAACAGGTTGATGATAGATTCTTTTGGAACAAGCACATGATTGAAGATCTCATCACCATTGATGTGAGTCTTGTTTCTAACAATGTATATTATGAGAACCATTCTGTAGTTTTAGTTGAAATGTTGACTTAAGGCTGCATAGAAGTTTACTTAAAAACCTGCTTGGCAGACAGCTCAGGGTTGGGGCTGTGCCTTCTGGAGCTGAGCAATTAGCATTACCTTTTTCCCCCAGCTGGCCTTTCAGCAGCCTTCTTGTTAGCCTCTTGCTAATTAATGCACATCAACTGAATTAAAATAATTACAGTAAAGCAATGCAGGATAACTTAATGTGTGATATGTTTGTGCTAATTTCTGAAGGTATAAAGCTTATGCTACAGTAGGTCCTGTTCAATTCGAAGCCTTTTCAGTCTATCAGCTGTGCCTAGCCCCCTTTCCTACACACTTAGGTTTTTAACATCAAAAAAACCAAAAGAAAAAGACAAAAACTGGTGAGCTTACCCTGATATGGGACTGGCCTTTGTACCACAGCTCACTTAAATGCATTTAGTTCAGTTCCCAGGAAAATTATATTTAGAACAACTCAGAGTAAATACTTGAGGGTTTCAGGGTAGTATCTAGTTTTCAGTATGCCTTATTTATACTAAATTGTTTTATAGATACAGAAACTGAATAGCAGAGGGCAAATTGCTTATTGATTCCCTCTTACTATTAATGACACTCTGCTCATCTGATAGCTAGTCCAGAGCGTAAACTGAGTAGAACTTTTTCCCTTAACACAAAAAGATTGCTTCAGTAAATTGAAGCAATGTTTTGAAGAATAATTGCAGAATTGTGTTTAATTCATTCTGTAATACATAATTTTAGCTAAGAGTTAGAAATGTTTTCTTTTTTGAGATGTTGTAGTTTAAAAAACCCAAGCCCCTCAAAAACAGAGAAAACACTGATTTAAAAGCTTAATATGCTTCTGTGTTAAATACACTGGTTCTTTATTTGTCAGGCTGCTTGTTTATGATTTAAAAAAACCAAAACAAAAACCCAACAAACAAACCCCATTGCACTAAATTATCAACATGTCTGAGAACTTCAGGAAAGGCACCCTGAGCTAAAGGAAGACAGCTTAGAGAGTAAGAGCCTAGTGTCTATAAAAGTTGAGATATCAAAAGTAAGGGAGTGGAAGCTTCCTGTGCAGTGACTTAGTTTGGTGTAACAGCTGCTATTGGTGGCAGGACATAAGTAAAGGGTGTCTGAAAGGTCCCTGTGACAGGTATTTTACACTCCTTTCTCCTTCTCTCCTCTCTCTTCCCTTCTCTCCTGTAGTCCTTAGCTAGTGCTGTTGGGATTCAGCTCAAAAGTTTGGTCTAGTGCTAATTCAGGACGTGGAACAGAGTTGTTCTGATTCTGTGGAACTGAATTTCCATGCTTTAACCCATGGCTTTGAATCGTTCTCCAACCTTTTTAATCCTTCCCCATCCCTTGCTACCACCTGCATCCTTTCAGCAATAGTGGTGTACTGTCCTTTGAGTAAAGGATGTGCAAGCACTTACCTGTTCTGTTTAATGATGAGATAAGGAGTAGCTGGGCAAAAAACTGTAATCAGGAGAGCAGTATCTGTTCTTAATGTGCAAAATTAGTTAGAGGTTGAAATGAGGTGGGGGAGTCCTTCTGTTCTGTGAAACATGCAAATCTTCTTGGGCTGCTTGTGGAACCTCTTACTGTAAGAGGCGGAACATCTGTCAGTAAAAGTGGCCTTTTAGGTTCATGGAAAATACTGAGCACTAAAGCAAAACTTTCTGCTAAACTTGTCAGAGCAGGAAATAATGGATCCTTTAGGGTGGGAAAGGTACATCTGTGACTTCACAGTGCCAGCTGACTGCTTTGCCCTGTCAACTTATTTCCTGCTTCTTGTAGTAAATCAGTTAATAAACTTTATCCATATAGTCAACACAACTTCTGGGGATTAGGCTGGGATAGGAATCATTTTACCATTGATCATGGATTCTGTGTAGACCTATTTGTGTTACTGTTGTCAAAAACAGTAAGAAAAGTTATTAATGTTTAAGATGTACTTAAATATGAATTGATCATTCTTATTCCTCCTAGGAATGCGGTATAAGCGAAGAGGTGTTGATAAAAATGGAAATGTGGCAAATTATGTTGAGACAGAGCAACTGATTCATGTTCATAATCATACTCTTTCATTTATACAAACGAGGGGCTCTGTGCCTGTTTTCTGGAGCCAAGTTGGATATAGATACAACCCACGGCCCCGACTGGACAAGAGTAAGTATTTGGGTGGAATTCCTAAAGATCAGAGTTCCCTTAGAAACAGGTTCATTGGGGTGTTGTTTTACCACCAGTCTTCTAGTGGCACTTTCTAAAAGCCAGGAATAACAGTAATGACTTGACTCCAATTAACTCCTACTCTAATTGCAACTATGCAGAGCTCTGACTTCTTGTCTGTGGTAAGTAAATACCATGAATTTCAATATTTAATGAGGTACCTGTTTTATGTCTAGTCTTACTTGCTACAGTGTTTTCTGGATTGGGAAGGGAGATAATTTGGCTCTTTATTTTGAGAACCTTAGTAGAAACTTTTCTTGGAAGGAAGATAGTATCTTCATGATCTTGTATAATCGGCCTAATCAGACTCCTGCTGGATTGGGTTGACTGACATCCTGCATCCTAAGTAGGTACTTCTGTGAGTCCAGCGTATGTGTTGGATTCACATTCTCCTCTGGCATTAGCAGGTCTTGTCTTCTGTTACAGGACACTATTTTTTAGGGCTGAAAATAAAAGAAATCTGCTCTTTCAGAGGGGGCTGTGATGTTGGAAAGTTAAAGGACTTCCCCCCC